CCACCCCACCGCCACCGGAAGTAACAATTCAAATTCCAAGACTTCCATCCGACAAACTTACGTTCTTTTGGGGATAGCATTTTTTTTATTGTTAATAACCCCCACCCCGCCCTTTTGAAAATTTGAAAAGAAAATACACCCCCACCACAGTATACGCTAAGAGCATACACACGCTCTGTCTCTCTTTTTTTAAATTTCTGTCACATTGCCGTTACTGTTGTTGTCGTCGTCGTGATCTTGTTTAATTATTATTTTAATTAACAGTAATAGTAGTAGGTGATAGTTTAGTAAATAGTAGTATTATGTAGTAATAGTAGTTCTCTCGGCGCGACTGGCAAAAAACCTTCGGAAAAAGACGAAAACGATTTCACGCACTGATCTTCCCCTCGCTCTCTTCTTTTTTCTTTCCCTCCCCTCTCTCGTCGTGCAAATTAATACTTCGCGCCCATCCCGCGCCCCACGCCGAAGCTGCCCGCGTCACGACCGTCGCGAATAGTCTGCAAAAATTTGCTATGTCCAATGACAAAAGAGCAAAGTTGGTCAAATGATTTTTTTAAATTCATTTTTTTTCTGCATCTTCGATTCGCGTCATCCCCACCCCTTTTTATCGTCCGCATCATTAATTCTGAGAATACGTGACGACATTTGGCAATATCCATTTCTGATCCTCCTTCTTCTCCTTTCGATATCTCAATTCGTATCTCGTCTTTGTCGCGCATTGAATATCCACCCCGTACACTGACGAACTACAAGAAGAAACGTACTGAAAAAAAAATAACAAGTACGATACACCGGGTGTTCGTCTTGCTTTTCATTTTTTTTTCTTTCTTACTCTCTTTGCTTATTTCGTGTCTTGCTCTATTTTTTTTTCACGTTTTCCTTACTTTTTTTTTTATCCCATCCGTCATAGCTCGTTAGTACAATATTCAATCTCTAATCAATAATAATTACCTAGCAACAACATCAGAGACTCTTTAAGGACACAACTTATCCTGACGATACTATTATCACAGGCATTAATATTTTATTATTATTTTTTTTCATCTTACTCCACCCCACCTCGAATCCTCTTATGTAGGTATCGCCGTATGTACCATGCATTCCCTTCAGCCACCCTACCACCCTTACGTCCCACAATTTTCGCGCACTCGTTCTTGCCTCATCTTTTTTTTTCTTTTTTTTCTTTTTCATGACAACTCAGCCATTATTTTCTTCCTGACCTATTCAGATCGTAATCGCATCCCTTATCGGACACTCTCGTCCAACTGTTGGCTCTATAGTAATGATAGTAATAATAATTATAATAATATATACCGTGACTAATAGAAATATGTGTTGGTTTATCATTTTCTCCCTTTTTTTTTTCTTCCTCCTAACTTATCCGTAACATTCACTAGAATCAACACCGCAACTCGAAAAAAATCATTTATTTTTCAAATTGTATCATACTGTATAGTGCTCTCCATTATTTTTCTTTTTTTCCATCCCCCCTAACGTTCCAATCTCTTGGTCGATATTCATACAGATTTTCTTTTTAACTCTTCGTCGCGTTTCCCTCGAGTTTGGTAAATTGCATAAAGAAAAGGAAAATAAAGCTCTGCAAAGTTTCCACTGATTTCCCAAGAATCCCGCGATAAATTCCAGTTCGAGTTTTTGAAACGTGGCGAAAAAAAAAGAAAAAATAAATAAAGCCAAGAGAGACGAAAGACGAAGAAAGAAAAGGACAATAAAAAAAACAAACGCGCGTAACCAAGAGCACGGCAAAAGGGAATAAAACGGAAAAAAAAACAAAAGAAAAAATCATTTAACGATTACAACAAAAAATCTGAGATCGACCAAAAATGAAAAATAGTACTTCACCACGTTTTAAGCGTCCTATATATTCTATGCTTCAATAGAATCTTTCTTCCGCTCACCCCTGGGTTTACCCGAACCCACCCAAAATATCCTTTTGTCCCCTAATATCTCCTTCGCGAGTAACCTGTCCCCCTTTATTTATTACTTTTTTTTTTTTTTTATATGCTGCAGAATCGATATCCATTTTTCACTTTTAATACGGAAAAGGACCGGTGCCGGTTCGTTCGTTTTAAGGCTGATCGTGTAAACCACCCTAAAAAATATCTTGTCTCTATATAGGTGTACGTGTCCTGTCTGTCCTGTCGTAATATAACCACGTTTATGTCACACTCTTGTATATATATAAATGTATAAGTGTATAATTCACTTTAATATATTTTCATATATATATATATATTTTTTGTTTACGTGTAGATGTGTCTGCTTGTATTCACGGGTGTACAGGTGTTGTCTTTTTTTATCTTTACTGACCTCCCCCTTCCACAAACAATTGTTGCACGCCAGTGTACAATCAGTATCTTTAATTTTTTTTTTGTATTCTTTAATCACGGTGCGTGTCCTATTTACATAAAGTAAAGGCGTTATCGTTGAATTTACCTAAGAATCTTAACGTCTGATAGTTTACGAGTCTCCGCGCAACGTCAACGTAACAAGGGTGGCTTAATTCTTTTATTGCGTTACTAAGTGGCATTCCCACACGTTTCCCTGGTATATTCGCGTTATTACAAATTTTAATATAATTTTTGGAGAAAAAAGACCTTCCCGTTAAGTCCCACCCTCGATATTTTAAATTTACGCATTCGCACACACATGCCCCTCCCACCCCTTTACCCCTACCCAAATGCTCTTTCTCTCCCTCTCTCACTCTCTCTTCCTCAACTTCGTTCCTTTTCTTTCTCTCTTTACTCGCAATATGTATAGCACCACCAACCACGATCTTATAGATATATATATATATATTTTTGTTTTCACACGCGATTATGTATATACGTATTCGTACGGTGGACCATAATAAAGCATCCTGAGTAAATATTGTATGTGTCAAGGTCTAATTCTTAACAACGCCGCGACGAAAAAAGGGGATGGGTGGGCGAGTGGGTGGGTGAGCGGGGGAGTTGAGGTTCAAGGCGAAAGGAGGGGAATTAAAACGGAGTGTCCTTCGCCGTAAGGACATGGTAATATGTCATCGCGAGGACGTCGCAGGCTCCCCCACCCCCCGAGACACTGATATGCCCGTCGAGATTATCTTTTTTTCTTTCTTTCCCCTTATATTTTTCTCTTTGGAATCTTCTAGAAATGCAAACCGGTAGCATTCCGAGCTCATTCCGAAAAAGGCGCTCGTTCTTGGATTATAATTATTATTAGGCATTGTATACGAGGGACAATATATATATATATATATATATATATATATGTATGTATACAATCAGACGATATATCGCTGGTACACATGCACGCATTGTAGAATGCTAGAGGAAATGAGAGAGAGGGGGAGAGCGAGAAAGAGAGAGGGCGAAAGAGAGCGAGAGATAAAGGTAAGGATAATTGTCGAGACAGGACTTTTTGGCGTAAAAAGCCTTTTCTTACTTTTTTCTTTTTCAGGGAAGATTATGCGCGACATCGCCGAGGAGTCCTGTCGATTGAACAATTATATATAGATAAGAGATTTATACAAATGATAATGATCGATAATCACAAGTACGATTCCAGGAGATATATATATATATATATATATACATATATGATTATGGAACAAAAGATTCCCAGAGAATGAAAGGAATCGTATTCGTAAATCGATCAAATTATCTAGACTTCTCTTATTCCGAGAAGAATAAGTTGAAATAAAATATTGGCTTTGAGCTCTCTCTCTCTCTCTTCCCTTTTTTTCTTATCACTGTTTCTCTCTTATTTACTCTTTGTCATTCTCTCTCTCTCTCTCTCGTACGCGCAATCTCTCATACTTCTCTCCCCACACTGACTGCTTAAAGTCGTTGGTGCGTAACGAGGAGACCCTCGACGAAGTCATCCCGACGAGAGTGCGACGGGATTTGGCTTCCTCGAGGTCTCGCGTAAGGGTTTATATATATATATTTTTTTTCTTTTTCATTTTCTCGTGTCGCGGCTCGGGACACTCCAAGGGCGTGCGTTTTACCCGATGACACGTGGTGGCCTCTTCCATTAGAAATACGATATGGTAAGGAGCAGGAGTACTAGCAACTACCTTTTGCAGCATGCAACGCTGTAACGGACGTTTGAAAGGCCGACCCTCAGGTTTGCGACCTTTAACCCAGGGAAAGAGGCGAAGCGGGGTGAGGCTGGGTTGAGGATAAGGTCTGTGGCCGCAACGAGGATTATTCCCTGGAATCGCGAGGGCCGATCCCGTCCGGGACTAGAAATCGATTTGATTAATAAACGAACGTGCTTAAAAAATACTGGCAGGCCACTACTCTGGCTAGCCTGTTGAAGTAATCTTCATCATCTTACACGACCTCCATCTTCTTCTCGTATATGTGTATATTCCATTTTTTTTTCGTTTTATCTTTTTTTTTCTTTTTCTCCCCTTTCCTCTTGCCTCCTTGACGCCAGTTTCGTGCTCCCTTGGTTCTCGCTCACGGATGGGGAAAAAAGAAGGCCATCCTAAACAGCGTGGTTATCGAAGCTCGTATTTTCTGAAGGTTCCCCAATGATTATCTCTATTTCTTTTTTTCTTGTTCTCTAGCGTTTCCTTCGTCGTTTCTCATCGTTTAAATCTTTCTTTAATTATTCTTGCCACCTAGACATGCGTCTGACTTTTCTACGGTATTATTTACCAATTGCCAGTTTTACTTTACAGACTCGACTGTTTTGCTGCGATTCGCTTATTCCCTTGTTTCTCTAAGTCATCGGGGGGTGCTTTCTTTTGTCCTCGTTCGTGTCTGGGTCCTTTTCTTCGTTTTTTTTTTCTATTTTTTTTTTGTTCTCCTGTACCTCTTGTCTTGGTTTGCTTCGTTTTACGTCTTCTATACATCTAAATAACTCGTGAGGAATGAATTGGTCGCGCGACTCCTGGTGGAACGTCGTCGCCGAGAGATTCCCACAACGCTTGTATACTTTCATGGACATATTTCTAACGGGACGCACGGTTACGATCGTAATAGGACTATTAAAGCTGCATGCTGCTCGCTCTATTGCTTCGATAGGCCCGAAGGTCAGATCGTCATAATTAAAATCGGATCTGTCTTCATTTAAAATTTCTCTTTCACTTATTCTCACTCTTTTTTTTCCCCTATCTCACTATATCTCGCGTGTTTCTTATTATTCCTTTTGTTTAATAATATTAACGTTACTGCTTTTTCGTTTTTTTGGATTTTTTCTCGCCGTGCTCTAACGTCGGTTTTCAACATCCTTTTTTTTTCCTTTTTTTGCTTAATGTTCTTTTTCTTAACACTTTTCCTTGGCATTTACATTTGCTGCTGCTGCTTGCCGCTGCTGCTTCGTTGAGTGGCACCCGATTCACCAATAGGGCGCCCGGGTGCTAAGGAAGTTTAAGACGATTTAAGGGTCATTGGTCTGATCTTACCTCACAATATGTAAAGAGTGTTCAGAACGAGGACGTGATGATTATTCTTGGCCAAGGTCACTATGTAACCCTCCGAGGTTATCTTGAGACCGCAACAGCGTGATACCTGTGTGTGGAATTATAAATTCTTACCACATGGAGCTACAGTTCTGATATTAAGCTAATGTATTTTGAAGTCTAATACGTGAGAATGAAAATTAAACTCTAAATCATTTTTCACAGTAACTTAAATAAAAAAAATACGAAAATAAAAATTAATGAGCTTAAATAAAAAATATACTGATTGTTATTATGTGCAGTTCATATTTGTCCGGTACAATGGTGATGGTTTACCGACAAATTTTCATCTGAATAATGCAAAATTGACTTTATGATCAAACGACCAAAATAACTGACGACCCTTACCTTGACATAGGGACACTCGAATTCGGAAATGAGGGAACCGTCTCTGGAGAATACGGCGACGTGGAAGCGATTCCCATGAGAGTCACCGATCAGAACGTCCCCGGCATCGCTAATGTCTATCCCGTTTGGGAAATTCGTTATATTCTCACAGCCGATGCGACGCAGAAAGTGTCCTGCCTCGTCGAAAACGACCACGCAGTGTCCTTTGAAGTCGCAGACGAAATACTCTTTTCCTGATGAAGAAAAATATTCATGAAATAAACTAATGGACTTTACTGAATATTTAATTTCACTTTTGTTATCGCTCAAATGAATCTTCGTCCCTCAATAACAAGGGGAACAGTGTAAGAAAATTAATTGTATAAATGGCAACAAGCTACATTACCACTAATGGCGATATCGCTCGGCTCTCTCATATAGTCGCTACAGTCGAACCAGTGCATCAGGTCCCCAGTGTCGCTGATGATGAAGACCGTAGGTGAGACACTATCCACGGCAACAATGTGACCCTGACTGGTAACAGCGAGACCGGCCACGATGTCGATGTAACGAATGGCAATTTTCTTAATGAAATGTCCGTTCTTTGTGAATATCTGCATACGAGAACGTTCGTTCCCTCTGTCGCAGACAACGAACTTCCCACTGTTGCGCATCACGGCCACCTTCCTCGGGTACCAGAGTTGACCCTCTTCCTTGCCAGGAATACCAAATTGAAAGCGGAAGGTTCCAGTTTTCTCGAAGACCTGGAGGAGATCGTTTTCAATAAATATCATAATTATTGAACCTTATGATAGTTCTGAGGTCACTGCACGTTACCTGAATTCGATGATTGTTCGTATCGGCAACGATGATGTCTTCGTCGGTACCCAGACAGAACCCATGAGGCGAATTGAATTGACCCTTGCTGGGTCCCAACTGGCCAAACTTACTACGAATCTGCATCGGCGTGAGCTTTGGATTACTAGAGCGTGCGTGGGCATAGTTCCCAGTACCGCTGCCATTGACACTCCCCACTGTGTTACCTACCACTACAGGCATGTTATGCATTGAATCTCCTATAAGGTCATCTGAAATTCAAGCGCAAAGCTCTAGTCGAAGACCTAGCTCCATATCTTTTCTAGGCGTCAAAGCTTCTCTGAGGTATCCTTCCCTTCTTGCACTTTGCATTTTATATTTTTATTTAATTTTTTATGCTCACCTGGTGCCTGCGAGAGTATTGGCGACGTGGACGATGAGAGAGACTGAAATCCTCCGTTTAGAATACTGTTCGAAGCAAGAGGTCCAAGATTTGGTGTGTCAACGATCCCTGGCGAAGGTCCACGTCCGAGGACAAGACTTCCACCACCATTCAAGGTCGCGTTACCCAAGTCTGTGTGAAACATATTGTGTCATTTAGTATTACAATAGTAAATCTTATCATATTATTGGAAGTACAGTCGGACCTCTAAAAGGAAAAAAACTCAGGACCGAATTACCTATGCGGAGGTCACCTAAGTACCACCCATTCCCACTGGCAGATCCCCCCCCCCC